TGTTCTTGCTGCCCAGGCTAGAGTGCAATGGCAGGATGTCGGCTCACTGCAACCACTGCCATCTGGGTTTAAGCGATTATCCTGCCTCAGCCTCCCAAGTAGCTGGGATTACAAGCATGCGCCACACCACACTTGGCTAATTTTGTATTTTTAGTAGAGACAGGGTTTTACCATGTTGGTCAGACTGGTCTGGAACTCCTGACCTAAGGTGATCCACCTGCCTCAGCCTCCCAAATTGCTGGGATTACAGGTATGAGCCACCATGCCCCACCAATTATATATAAAAATTTTTAATCCTGTTTTTTAAATTTAGCATTTTATTGTAAAATATTTTACCATGTTATAACAGTGATGTTTTTAATGGCTGTCTATATTATTTGGTGTGGATTCACCATTTTCTTTACTATTGATTATACAACTGTTTTTGGTTTATTTTTTAATTTTTTTATTTTTCATTTGAAGTAATCCTCAGTTCTTAGCTTTTCAGTTCATGTTACTAAAACACTGTATTAAAAGCACACTAGATGGCTGTAGAAACTTTTTTCATGAGGATTGGTTCTGATATCCAGCTTTTCCTCCTCGCCAGATCTTGGAGTCTCTGTGGATCGTTATGAGCCGGAATGTGAGCCTGCTCTTCACCACTGTCACTACACTCTTGACCATCCTCTTCTACAGCGGGACAGCCCTTCTCAATTTTGTACTTTCTCTGGTATGTCCACATAGATAAGTACACCTCACATTTCCTTCCTTGTTAAAGCATATTTCTGATTTCATTTGCAATTACAGATGTCTGTCTTCCTATAGTTTCCAAATACGATTTTTTTTAGGAGATATTGTCCTTTGTTTTGCAGATAATTTTCCTGACCACACTATTTTATCTATTAAGTTCCAGTGATGAGTACTACAAGCCAGTGAAGTGGGTGATAAGCCTGACTCCACTATCTCAGCCAGGTCCTTCTTCTAATATTATTGGCCAGTCTGTAGAAGAAGCTATCAGGTAGGGATAAGGTTTATGCTATTCTTATTTCTCCCAGAATTTTTTTTCCATGATAAGCCTGTTTTTTGTCGTGAGCATCCTGATAACATTCAGTGCTAAACTCTGAAGGACTCTGGTATTTTCAAGGTTTTCATCTCATTTTGAGAGGATAAATATGCACAGTGCAGTTGTTAATAAGAAAAAGATTCAGGCCGGGTACAGTGGCTCATGCCACTCAGATTGCTTGAGGCAGGAGGATTGCTTGAGGCGAGGAGTCTGAGATCAGTCTGGACAACATAGTGAGACCCTGTCTCTATAAAAAAAATTTTAAAAATTGTCTGGGCTTGGTGGCATGCAGCTGTAACCCCAGCTACTTGGGAGGCTGAGGCTGGAGGCTTGCTTGAGGAACTTGAGGTTACAGTGAGTTGTAATCACGCCACTGCGCTCCAGCCTTGGTGACAGAGCTAGATCCTGTTTTCTTTGTTTTTTGGAGATAGATTGCAGTGGTGTGATATTGGCTCAGTGCAGTCTCTGCCTCCAGAGTTCAAGTGATTCTCCTGCCTCAGCCTCCCAAGTAGCTGGGACTACAGGCGTGCACCACCACACCCGGTTAATTTTTGTATTTTTAGTAGAGACTCGGTTTCACCATGTTGGCCAGGCTGGTCTCAAACTCCTAACCTTAAGTGATCTGCCTGCCTCGGCCTCCCAAAATTCTGGGATTACAGGCATGAGCCACCATGCCCGGCCAAGACCCTGTTTCTTAAAAAACAAAAAAACAGACCGGGTGTGGTGGCTCACACCTGTAATTCCAGCACTTTGGGAGGCCAAGGCAGGAGGATTGCTTGAGCTCAGGAATTTGAGACAACCTGGGCAGCATAGTGAGACCTTGTCTCTACTAAAAATAAAAAAGATTAGCCAGGCATGGTGGTGTGCATCTGTAGTCCCAGCTACTTAAGAGGCTGAAGTGGTAGGATTGCTTGAGCTTGGAAGATGGAGACTGCAGTGAACTTGGTCACACCACTGCACTGCAGCCTAGGCAACAGAGTAAGACTCTGTCTCAAAAACAAAACAAAATTTAACAATTCAAAGCAGTTTTGATAACCTTCTCTCAAACCTGTGATTTACAAAGATATAATGGTCTATCTCCATCAGCTTTCCATCAGCAGGATCTTAGACTAGCTCTTAGCATCATGTCACTTGCTTAAGAGAACCCCCGCTTCCACCACCCCCATCTCCAACTTCTTTCAGAACCCTCTGCTGTCAGGATTTCTAGCTTTGCTCCAGAAGGAGAGTAGGTGGCGTTCCTGTTTCTCCTCTGTCCTAAAGCCAAGCTGTGCCCTCCGCGAGGGGTAGGTTGGATACTGGAAATGCAGAATCGTTGTTTATCTCTTAAGTTATAGGCTCTGTATGCACTGGAGGTTCTGGCCAGAAACTTTCATTATGACTTCTGGCATCCATGTATTTACAGGCTTGGTTTCTGAATGAACTTCAACTTTTCCTCCCTATAAGCTCTTTCCAGGTCATTGGCTCTTGACTTCCTTTATCTTTTCCTCTTCATCATTTCTGGTAGGGAGGGCCTTTTTGCAGAGCAGGCCTCTCTCAGCCCCTCTTCCAACCCCTGTTCTCATTGCTCATTAACAAGACTCAACTACATTTTTACTTCTTATGCATACATCTCAAATTAAACCCTCCTATTGTCCATTAGAGCTCCTTTTTCTAATATGTTGTTAACCAGGTAGTCTTAAGTGTCTCTTGAATAGTGAATCTTTGGCTGGCATTTCTGTCTCCACATACTTTTAATAAATACCATTGTCCGGAACTAGTCTTCCACAGAAATCTTGATTTCTTTTTTTTCTCTGATAATTGTATCTTATTGATCTTGGTTTATTTTTTCACTGTGTTCATGTAATAGCTAGTGAGAATCCCACTTTGATTGTTAGAAAACCTTCAGTTAACATTCAAACAGGATGCATGCTCCTAAAATATGATTTCTGTATAACTTTTGCTAAGTTCTCTCCCCTTTTCCTACTAGCAAGGCCTGGATAAGGTCTTCACCAATACCTTGTTTGTGCGATTGGCTATCAAGTGGGATTAAAAAAAAATGCTCTTAACACCTATATAGTGCCCTCAGGTATCCACATGGGGGCCATCTGTAAAGATTCCAGATTTCGGAGTATATTATCCAGTGTAACAGCATTTGGGGTGAAGCTGTTTTGAAGGAAGTACCGGCTATAGCTTCCCTCCTAAGTCCTATATGACCATTGACTATCATCTTTACTGAATAAATGAAATGATGAAAATTCTAGCAATAGATTATCTTTGTTTATCTAGGATCTTTCTGACTCAAAAAAGCTTTTGCAAATGCTCTACCAAAAAGGAAAGCTAATCTTTTATCTTACCAATAGGATAAAGCTGTTGGAGCAGCCATATCAAAGGCTGGTAGGAATTCTCCAGTCAATGTGGCTTAAGCCAAGCTTTGCAGAAAAATATCTACCTTGTTCATAAAGAACTTCAGGAAAGATGATGCTTCCATTTTCCTCAAGTAACCTTCATTGTTACTGACTCTTATTCTTAGAAAAATATTTCTATTTTCACATCACAGTTTTGAATTTTCTGTTGTTCTGCTTTCTTAGAGCAGACCATCCTCTAAATGTCTGTCACTTTTTTTCTTACCAAATATGCCACCTTTTTTGTTTTAAACTTAATTCCTAGATGTTGTGTTTGCCAGTCAGTGGTAAGTAAAGCTGTTAGTCACACCTAGGTTCAGCTGATTGAAAGCACATATTCTGTTACACCATGATGCCTTCTTTCAAGAGGAGCTGGTTAGGGAAGATCATGACTTATATTTGTGGACATAAGAGGGTGGCACTTAGAAATTCAAGTCTTTGGCTCAGGAGAGAATTTGAGATTAGAAAGAGTGCTGTCATCTACAGGGATATGAGGAAATCGGTCTTTTACAAATTAGATTTGACTTACCTTCTTGGGAGTGCACACACTAATTATGTATTATAACAGTAGCTCATGTCTTGGTTCCATAGTATACTGGAATTTAAAAACCATTTGTTTTATTATCACCTTATTTTAAATGCAGAAAAAATTTTAACAACCTTTGGTACCAGAACTATAGTCGAGTGGTTCTCAGAATTGATAGATTTTTATAAATCTGATAAATATGGTACAGACTAAATGGGTTATGGCCTGAGCCATTTTTCTAACCAAAGCTATATCAAGTTATATAATTTTAAGACTGTAATTCAAGGTGATTTTTTTTTTTGTAATTTAAGTTCCTAGGGCTGTTTCTTTACTGGCGCAAATTCAAGACTTGAAAGGTACAGGTTTTATAGAGATTCCTCTGAAGAGCTTTCTCCTGTGGAGAAGATGGTAGTGAGTTCTCTAAGAGCTCCTGTTGGATTTTTCATCCTGAAGGTTTGTGTTGAAGAGGCAATATGTTTCTTCATGGAAAAAGATTTTGAGGGAAAAATAAGTGGTTATGATTTATAATTTATAAATGACTCTGAAAATACTGTAATGTCCTCAAACTGCAGTTTAGCCTACAAATATCAGTGATACCAACTTTTATAAGCATCAGTCATTAATCATCATCTATGTTGCAGCTAAGTGGAAATCATTACATTCATTTTTATGATCTGTGAATAAGTCAAAAGTGGAATTGAAATTGGGTGTTAATTGCATGACCAGACAGTGAAAGTGTCTGCTCGTGAAGCTTTGCCTTCTGAAGTATGTGGCTTCTTTATGATCACTATCTCATTGAAGTTTTGAACATTACTCATTATTTTGATTCTGAATAAGTATTCTTCTCAGTTGAATACATTTGCAGTTGGGTTTTCATTTCATGAAGTTTTGAGTCAGTGGCATGCATCCTTTATCCCCAGACCATTTTCCTCTCTTTAGCAGCATGTTGTCTCCTGAATGTATACATCACACCCTTCTTCCCTGATGCTCCCATTCTGCTTGCTCTGGTGGAGATATTGCACATTACTAAGTTGCATGTTGTCACGGCCTCAATGCAATTTAGTGTGTGTGATATTTTCACATGAGTGCATGCACACGGGTATGGCTCTTGCTTGCTGGGATTACAGCTTTTCAGTGCCAGTGGGTGGGCGTCCTGATGAATTAGATAAGAGAATGTGTATGCCATGCAGTTCTCATTTGGAAAGTGAACATGCTTCCCACTGGTACCTCCCAATTTTGGAGAAATAAAAGTGTTTGGATTAAAAAAAGTGATCGTTGATCATTTGGTGAATCAGTGTTTCCATTTTTTGCTTTGAGCAAATGAAATATTTATTACAAATTCTCATTGATTTAAGAGTATAAACAATATTTAAATGTGTAAGGAAGAATGTAAAGCTGTAAGAAAATGTATTTTCATTTATTTGAAGAAATCTTTCCCAACACTGGAATAGAGAAGCAGAAATCTCTTACGCCTATTTGGGGAAATTAAATTAGCTGGAGTTCTTAAATAATAATCAAGACAGTAAAGGTATGCTTAACCTACTTGATGAAAGAATCTCATAAACTTAAGTTTCCAAGGTAAATTACCTTAAAAATGTTTCTTTTAGTTTCTCATTGTGATGCTTTGAAAACTACTAAATTCATTTTAATGGGCTTATAATGGAACTAGTTTTGAGTTACGTGTTTACTATTTGCCTATGTAATTGAAACAACCCCTTGTTATTTTTTTAGTTAGCATTAGAGTAAGTGTGCACAATCACTAGGCATTGTCAAGAACACAAAACCATGTATTACTGTATAAAAATATTGAATTAATATTTACTACTGCCATAGCCTCCAGATGATCTAGTGTGATGCTGTCATTCTATGTTTCTCTGTTTCACCACTATTTTGGAGGGTGAGAATGGAAGAATTCCACATAAGCAGCTCATCCGCTGTGCCCCTCAGCAGCTCTCTAGGGCTGAATGCACAGTGTGGCCGTTCCCCTCATGCTGGAAATTTAATGTCAGCCAGGTTGCTATATGACACCCTGTGGAGCTGGGTTTCCA